AGCGTCTGTTCCCGAAGCCGATCGCGGATGTGATAAACATATCGGAAAACATATTCCACGACCAGATCCTGCACTACGCGATCGCCACGCGGGACACGGCGTGGATATCGGCCGTCTATCCCGAGTATAACCTATTCACACAACAGATACTGGTGGCGATGGCCCACATAATGCCGGCGCTCACCGCCAACGAGTGGCTTAAGTTGTTTAAGTTTCTTCAGCTCTATTACTATAACTACGAGATCGTGTGTCTGTTCCGGAAGGCGATCCGCTCTACGCCTGACGACACCGACAGAGACTTTTTGACCAAATGTTTTGTAAACATTATCAAAACTGAGCTCATAATTCCGTCGAGGTATTGATTTTTTGGTTAATTTGTTTGTTATTTATTTGCATTAATTGTTTTTGTCTTATTTGTGGCACTTTTAGGGATGATGTGCTGATCCGACCGCTCACTCAAGAGGACTTCCAGTACTACGAATGCGATTGGGCCATAATGTTCAAGACGTTGGCCAGTTTGGAGCACTTCCTACTGCCCGCTGATATGAGGGCTCAGTTGTGCGAACTGATGACCGAATTGGCCGAACGTATGCAAGGGCTGTACGTCTGTCCCTATGATTACTATAAGAAGGAGGGAGTGATGCCACGCGTCGTCAAAGAAGTGACCAAAAAGGTATTTGGATCTGATATTGACGTCCAATACCCCAAACAGAAAGTCCAGTCCATTGGGTTAACGCCGGCCGGCGCTAAACGCTAATTGTCGTCTATTTCTTGTATATTACTTTTCATTGTAGTCATGTATTCACCCATTTGTCTATGGATTTGTATATTTGCCAATCATTTCTTTTACTTAATTTATATTTTTTATTATAAGATTTGTCTATTTTTAGTTACTATTGAATTATAATTAGTTGTTTTGTGGGTTTTCATGAAATATGTAGTGCTTTTGATAATTTTCTATTAATATTAGCCAAATATTTGCCAACTATTTTAAATGTCAATTTAATTGATGTTTGATTTGACTGTTAATTCATTTGATGTTTTGATAACAATT